GGGTTTATGGTTTAGGCTTTCGGGTTTGGGGTTTAGGCTTTAGGGTGGAAGTTTGGGGTTTGAGTTTAAGGACCGTCTGATGACCTGGGCGAAAGCTTTGCGGAGCCCGCAACCCCAAGCAGACACCCTCGTAGACCCTGAACCGCAATGGCGCACCGAAGGCGGAATGCTGTATTGAGCTCAGAACTCCTGTAGTCTTTGGGTCGCAACATCCTGAACCCGAACGGCTTAGGGTTTTGGGGTTTTAGGGGTTTTAGGGGTTTAGGGGTTCAGGGGTTTAGGGGTTTAGGGTTTAGGGTTTAGGGCCACAGCTCAGATCAGTATACGTGGGGATTCAGCTTAGCTTGTTTTCTAAGCACTGCCTGACTTCGAAGTTCACCTTCGTGGCTTTAACAGCGCACTTGCACGGTTGGGTTTCGATGCTGCTGGAATCCGTTGAGAAGCCGGCAACCTGACACCGAATCCGGAAGATAAGGACCTGAAGGATGAGGATAGCGTTTTGAGATGTAATATAGGAGAATGAAACAATACTTAAGGAAGGACTTTAAGGAGTAGTGCTGGTACTTATGCAGACTTCCGTCTTAGCCTCTTCCCCTTGCGGCATGCCGTGGCAACTCGCAGCTTCGGGCTACCTGCTGACGGCTCACAGTCGACTTCTCTGTAGAAACGTAGACATAGAAAGCCAATCATGGTGAAGAGTATCCAAGACTTCATCTATGGCGGCCCGGAGCAGTCGGAGAAGGAGAGGGCTAAGTGCTCTTTCACCGTCGATGCTCGGATGCTCCTCATCGCACTCCTAACTTTCATGACGTACGTCATGTATCACGCCCAGCGCATCACATTTTCTGGGGTGGCCTCGTCAATGAAAGACGAGGCTGGCTTCTCCGCGACGAAGCTGGGTGTCATGTCCACCGGATACATGTTTGCCTATGCCATTGGCCAATTCGTCTGTGGACGATTTGCAGACTTCGTGCGCCCGAAGCGGGCCTTGGTCTTTGGCATGCTTTGCTGCGCCATGCTGCCCGTCATTGAGGGCTTCATGGGTGCGAACGGTTGCGTGGGAGAGGGCTTCTGCTACGTCCTCTGGATTTTTGTGAGGGGTCTCGAGGGCTTTGTTCAAGCTACCGGCTGGACGTGCACGGTCGCCATCATGGGAAATTGGTTCCCTCAGGAAGGCCGGGGTTTTGTGATGGGGATCTGGGCCACCAATTCCAATGTGGGTGATATCTTCGGGCTGCATCTTACCTCTGCACTTCTTGACAGTACCGCCTGGTACGTGATCTTGTGGGTTGTGGCGGGGTTCATGGTAAGCTGGGCAATCGTCAACATGCTCTTCCTCCGTGGTGCTCCCCCACCATTCTCTTTGGACTGGCAGTTCCAGGAAGTCGCCGCCAGCGAGGCGGTCGACCAAGAGACCTCCGGCGAATCGGCAAGCATTGGTGAAATTCTTTGTCTTCCGGGCTTGTTGCAGTATTCATTCAGCTACATGTTTCTCAAGCTCGTGAATTATGCTCTCTTCCTGTGGTTGCCCTTCTACCTCAGCGAGGGTATCGGTGTCGACAAGTCGTTGGCCACCTTGATGTCCGCCCGGTTCGACGCTTGACGTTCCAGTACGCAGTCTTGCAATCTTCTGGGTATCTGTATAATCGCATTAGCCGAAAGGGTTTAGGATCTAGGCTTAGGTTCAACCGTTTCCTCGGGTCATTGCGGAAGCAAGGATATGGGTTTCATCGTCGGCGCAATTTTGGCAGGCCTGGCGAGTGACATCACAACCCACTATGCCGGAATGCCCATGAGGAGTCCCATCGTGAGCTCTTTCTTGTTGATATCGCTGCTGCCCATGGGAGTCTTGGTCGTGAGGCCATTAGTATAGTAAAGTATAATATACTATACTACAATATAATATAATATAATATAATATAATATAATATAATATAATATAATATACTATACTGTAATGTAATATAAAGACCCGACCCTCCCGAGCCCTCAGAAAAAAACCGGGGAGGCCAGCCTCGGGAGGCTTCCAGGCTCAGAGTTTCCCGTAAACCTTGGCTTTCAGTTCGACTTCCGGACCTCGCCCCAAAAAAAAGGGTTGAAAGAGTGACAGGTTTCAGAACGGGCGAAAGGGTCGAAGCTCGTGGTGTTACGAGATGTCCGGATCTCGGAGTAAGCCCTAAACCCCAGAGCCCAAAACCCCTAAACCCTCCTTGCCTGCCTTGTGCGACGGTGAGAGTCGAAACCCCCAAAACCGCCTAAACCCCTAAACCCCCAAACTCCTAAACGAAACCCCAAAACCGCCTAAACCCCTAAACCCTAAGCCCCGAAACCCCTAAACCCAATCAGACCCTCAACCCTCCTCTCTGAGTTAAAGGAATCCTTCGCTTCTCCACCGACCCCGATGTCATCAAATATGCCATCTTCTTTTGTGGCATCCTTCAAGGAGAGTGATTAGGGTGTAGGGTTTAGGGTTTAGGGTGTGGGTGTGGGGTTTAGGGTTTAGGGTGTGGGGTTTAGGGCTTAGGGTCAAGGAGAGTGATTGGGATTCAGCGAGTACGGTTAAGGGCTGCAGCGGCTGGGATGCAGAGTTTGCTTAGGGTTGAAGAGCGGGGCAGCGAAGGCAATCTAAACCCCTAAACCCTGGCCCTAACCCCGGTCACTAACATGACATCACGCCGACCTCGCACCATGAACCTCGCCTGGCTTGTCCGAGTTGTGAGAGCGTAACCCCGGTCACTTCAGGACAGCCAAGCGCGACATGCAAGCCCTGATTTGTTCAAGGGTTGCTGGGGCTTGTGTTCGACACCCACAGAGTCGGTAGTATTGGTGTTGTACGAATATAGACTGACTCAGAATGACCTAGTGTATCTGCCGTTATGGCTTGTCACTATTTGTGCGTCTGTGCGGACCTAGCCTATGTTCGGGTTGTTGTTGATCGTCTTGCTGCCGACAATTCTTCAGTCACGATGACTGGTGCTGTGCCATTGTGATGCTTTTGTCAGTGGCCCAACTGTCATTTGCCACTTGCTCTTCTTTTTGTTGCCGCTGTTGCTCTTGGTGTTGCCATGATGTCTATCTCGGGCTGCAGCATCACTATCGTCCTTACTATCGCGGCTGCCATACTCATAATCGTATGATTCTTTGGCCATCGCTGCTCGCGCTCAAGTTGCCTTGCTGCTGTTATCAGTGCTGTTCCGATTTTGGTCATCGTCGTTGCCGAGTCATTGCGGTGCAGGTTGCTAAGATTCAGACGGTTCTGATTGCGCCCGTCTCACCCGACATTGTGATTGGTACCAGCATGCTTCAAAACTGTCAAATTGTCAATATGACCCCCTGCGCCCGAAACCCTAAGTCTTGCACTGTAGTCACTGTAGTCCTGTGTTCGGAGATGGTACTGCAGATTTGTGGTGCTGCAAGGAGGGCCTGCAGATGCACTGACATCAGCGGTGTCGGTGGACTTGGGCAAGCATCCGAGCCTGCAAGGGAAGCGCGCCACTTCCACGGCTTCCAGGCTTGTTTTTGGTAGGTGCGCCACGAGCGACCCCTGATAAAACGCACATCCGGGAACGTCAGCCGCTCGGCTACAGCGCGGCA